CTCAACAATGAGCATATTCGCGAAAAGTCTTGCGTGCGTTCGTGCATTTTGCGATTTTGGAGGCTTCGGTTTCGTTTGCAACACGACTTGACACGTGTTGATATTCCGTTTTTCTCCCTCCTCGTCGTATGGCCAATTTAAAATGTATCGGATGGATCAACGAATCTTTCGTTTATCAATACGAACGTTCTCATACACACACACACACACATACATCAACCCTCGGAACACGGATTATCTCTCGTGGACCAGCTTTTGTCTCTTTTCTTAGGACTTTCTCTTAACTTCAAACACTCTTCAATAAACAGATAAATTCTCAGCACCGATTTCCTTGGAAACGGTGCTTCACGCGAATAAATTTCCAGTCGTTGTACGAGTTAATATCGAAAACACCCTGTGCAAATAATCGTCGGCATGAGTTTGTTGTCGGAAACTGAGTATTTCGTGGAAAGCTTTCGAAAGCTTCGGCAGAAACAGATGCAGGCGCCGTTGTCCGAGGGTTAAAAACAACTCTGCGTGTGTCCGTCCACCGGAAATTTTAGGTCAAACGCTTTTGGAACACGCAGAGGACACTTCATCGACAGTTTTCACTCATTCGAGTTAACACCTTATCAGCGGATAACGCAGTCCGGCGTCAAGTATCGATATTGTCCAAGGTTTCCGCTAATTCGACCACTTAAAGACAATCACCTGATTTATGGACGAAGTAGAACCGTTATTTGAGACTCAAACACTCAAAACTTTTCTTTCACATTATCCGTGATATTCTTCCACTATCGTATGCTTCGCTTAACGAACAACCTTCGTCGCATATTTATCCCCGTGGATCGAAGGATTTTCTATTTTGATTGCTTTTCGTATCACTGGCCACCCTGGGTCATCGATTAATTAATCTTGTCGCTAGTAAAAAAAGCCATCGATAAACTTAGTTTTGAGGAGAAAAAGACGATTTTATACGGTAAGATTTTATCGCAGAAAGACGATTTATTAGGCCGCCGTGTGGGTTCTCCTGATTTAATATAAGTTCTCGGATAATATAAACAGAACTTTAAAATGAAACGACTCCCAAGAAAAGCAGCATAAACTCTGTAGAGTCGTAAAACGTGACTCGGAGCAGATAATTAACAAAAGGTATCCAGATATAGGACAGTCCTAAAAGCAATCTCAGACCCACGGCTTCTGTCCATCGTTGTAATGAATTTATTATCCCGCTATACCGTGATGCTTTGAGGTAGACTGGACAATTAAAAGCAGTAAACCCAGCGGTACCGCGTAAAGAAGCGTTTAGAACCAGCATTAAAAACTACTGTGACGGGTGAACAACACTTTGCTACGCTAAGTCCTTCGCTTACAAAGGAGGCTGCAAATTTTCGAAAACACCGAGGACGTAACTCTAGGCTATGGGATTGTAAATGACCCCACAAAAGAGCTTCCGTTGACGGCACGTCGCTGGGTTTACTGGGGAAACGTGTTGGCCTAAGAATTGGATTTAAAACGAACATACCACCGCCACGATTCCGAAGACAAGGTGCTAACAATTCTCAACCTTAAACTAAATAGCAATCCCTTACGTTACACACGCGATTCGTTAAATATTAGCGGCTAGCTCGCTTAGTAACAACAATATTAACATACGAGTACACGTAAGCTCGCTCCAAAGACGGTTCCACGAACGAACGTCGAATTCTTCCGTGGAACCCGTTACACAATCATTTCGCAAGTGCAAACAACGGCTTTGTTAAGCTATCAACCGGGGGGCGACGAGTTAACTCGTCGAATTCGTCAATCGATAGCTTTCTGTTCCTCGTCCGACCAATGATTCTTGCGTTTCATCGCGAAACAACCGTCCGCGCTCCGGCGTGAATTACAGTCGTACAGGCACGTTTAAAATGATATACCAATTATAGAAGGCAATAATTTGGTAACTCGAATGATTTCAATGCCATTGTAATTGTAATCGAGCCTCCGTTTGTCTACGGAAATTTCATTTTGCGCAAACATCCGCGGTTCGTTTATCACACTAATTTTACCCGTCTCGGATTACGCTGCTCGTGCTAATAAAACCGTCGTCCGGTTAACAAGTTTCATTTCCTTTCGACAAGATACGGTCGGCGGAAATTGTTTGGACTTGCAAAATAACTCGGCTACAAATCCTCTCAGGCCTTTTTTGTACAGGTGTATACAGGGTGTTCCATCGACCACGGGGGTCGATGCGTTGTACGAACAGTGGAAAAAAGTTAACTCGAACATCAGCCCACGGAAGCTTTGAGACTTGGATCAATATGTTTGATAATTTTCCAGGAGGTCCTGTTTATGCATTCAATGATCGTAAAAACATGGGATCGTAGCTACGAAAAAAACGGTAAAATAAATGCTGGTAGTAAACGCATCGATCGAAAAAATGTGATTTATGCTGTAAAAGATGTTCGATCGGATATAAATAGTTAAAATGATAAATAAAGCTTCCGTGGACTCGTTCGAATATAGATTCAATAGATGCAACGTTTCTGTATGGTACAGTAATTTGATTAGTGATCGATTGAATTATTTAATACTAGATATCACGCGAATGATCTATACGCGAGACAAATAATTTCTTATCCGGTCTCCGACTCACTCGACTCTGTATAAAACTTTTCCACGAACAAATTACTGGAAAGATTGATTGATTAACACTGTCGTTGTGTCAATATTCACGATTCCGTTTAATTTTCCTTACAGTGATTCAGAATCGAATGATATAATTAACCCGGCAACCAATGATCCAACAACGTCGCAACAATATTTCAAATATCTAAAACAATTACTCCACGATGATTGATGGTAAAAACTGTAATTATTTAAGAGAGAGAAAAAAGACCTGTAAAAACTTATGTACCCCGTCAATGACTAGCTTAAAATATTATGCATACATATGTATATATACAAATATATATATACATAGATACATATAGATATATATGTGTATATATAGATATATAATCTTGCTTTGTTTCAACATAAATGTTTCAATGGCATTACGTGATCCTTAAAATTGCTGTAATTAATGGGCCATCTCTGACTGTTGTACTAGCGTTTCGTGAACATTTCGATGACTCATGATCGATTAATCCTTGCTGACCGCCGAAAGTAGTCCCGAACTGTGCAAACAATTTCTCTGACCTTAAAACTAAACCGTCGTGTCGACAAGAAACTGCAGCCACGTATAAAATAGTATTTGTTCGCTGGCAGACGATAATTTCGTTGCGGATTTTACCTACTTGTGACAAAAATGGGTTTAGAATATTCTACGCGTAATAAATCGTTGCAACAATGCACGGTTAAATTAGTTGATTTCATGATCTCTCGCAGGAATACTTCTACGATTTCGGTGGTAATAAAATGAAAGATTTTATATAGGCCGCTAACGATGCCAGAAGAAATAACTATTAAAATAGTCGGCATCCAATGTTGCCTGAAGATCGGCGAGCTAATAACGATTCATAAAAGATCAACGGCGAAAACTGTCAGCCTTTAAAAGTGATTAAATACAAGAACGTTGAAGAATGCGGTCAGCAAAGGCTACTCGTAAAACAGAAACGATAAAGAAGTTCTATTATTCTGTGACGCGTTCAGCAGTCGTTCGACGATCTTCAACAGACGATTAGAAACATTTACATATACGCGTGTAGAAAATGTGCAAAAATCTAACTGCTCTCAAACCTGCAATTTGATTAATCATTCCTTATCTTATTATCCTTGACCCTGTACTCGTTACCATAGTTTCCTTTTTACTGCGTAGTTCTCTGTTTCGATCGTTGCCAGCGATAGTAAGGTACTACAGGAACGATTTGTAAAATTGTATTGTTTATACTGCGGATTTTATGCACTTATAGCGTAAACACGATTGTCTAAAGTACAGTCCGATCGACACTGGAACCACCGGATTAGTCAGAATCCTTTCAGACTCCTTATCTTACGATTACGAAAGTGATAAAACGTTGCTTCTACTAGGAAATCATCGAATAGATTTTAATTGTTCGGGACACGTAAAAATCTCGCAGTAATCTGAATAAGTGCAGTCTCGTTATTTTCATAAGGCAATACGAACCAGTCACGTGTGAAGCTCACGGTGGTTCTAGTGTAAACGCATTCATAAAGCTTAGCACGACGTTTGAGTCCCATTCAGAACCTGACAGTACCCTAAAACAGAGCAAACGAGCTTCCGTTCGATCGCAGTTCCAACGAATTAAAGATCTCTATACCTGCATAAACATCCGCAATCTAGTTGTTATGTACAAATAAACAAATTGCGCGCACGAATGCGATTGCAGCGTTAAAGAATTCCTTGCGTGTGCTCCACGTATGTAACTAAAAAAAGAAAAACAAATATACATATATCTCTATCTCGACGGTCTGTTCATTTGAATTTTCGTCGCTGGTCGATTTGCGGCGAAAACTGAAACTCGCGACCAAAGCGATTAATTCGTGATCGCGTGTAACTTTCGTTTGTTTTTTTTTTCTTTTCGTCGGTCACGACTATTCGAGAACCTTATTGCTCCTCGAAATACAACAAATGTACAAGGTGAGTCACGCGAAACGAAACGAAGCCAAATCTGTGTTGGAGCTGAAGATAAAAGAAAATATCATGATAGCATAAACAAACTTTTTCGTTCGTTCCAAGTTTCAAAGTATTTTACGGTCATCGATGTCTTCACAGTGTACAAGTGCAGGGTTAAATAATATATTTGATCATGCATTCTGCGTCTTAAGGTCATTTTGCTAGGTCGTTGAACTTTCTGTGCCGTTGTTCACTGAACTGTGAGCTGAGATTGTGAAGTTAAAGGTAGACAGCGACATTTAAACAGTGCACAAATGACGTTTATGCTATCAAAATGGTCCCGATTTGCCAGCTTCAATTCCAACACAAATTTGTATTACCTGATTGCTGTGTCTCACCCTGTACAAACGAGGGAAAAAAGTACTCGTGCACCGCTGTCTTCTGCTCGCGATTCTTTGTGCCAATTCCAAGGCAAGGTTTAGTGGACGATTGCTTGCGTGCGATAAGTTTTGAGAAGACAGTGAACCACGAATATTTTCTTCTTTCGAAGTACCACTCTCTACCGAACAGCAACTCTTAAACATTCACGAAGGTCCTTGAATCAAAACCACGATTAATGTGTGCATGTCGCTATCATGCACTCTAAGGCGAAGCATACTCCTGTTATTGACATGACGCTCGAACGGGAACAACATTTCGAGAAACCTATCGTCGGAACAGCTTTCTTTTTACACAGAGTCGATTAACCCTCTATAGTTTATCCATTTAGTTTAATACAACTCTCTTAATTAAACAGTATGCTGAACGGAAGATAATATTACTAGAGAACCACCCATATCGTCTCAAAGTGATCCTCACGTAACAAGACCTTCGATATCATCTTCAGAAAACAAACTACCGCCCTTCGAAGGGTTGAAAGCTTCGATAAAAATTACAATGCTAACACGGTTAGCCAGCGAAGTGATCCGAATGTTCCAGCAACGATAGTCTATCCGTAACGACAGGCGTATGCCACATAATTTACTTATCCTACAGCTATCTTAGGCTATGGCGTCGCTAGTGTGATCCTCGCCGTCACATTGCACGATAATATGATACAAAAGTAACCCATTTTGTACATGCTTCCACGAACAAGACCATGATTTCACTTTTCCATCTCTATAGTGTTGTGAAACGAGTTTCTCTGAATCATGTTTCCCGGGCACTGCGCAGAAACACCATGACCGTGGAGCGTCTAAGATCCTTACAATTTCTCAGCCAATCTAAGAATACTATAGTCGTAAAAAACCAAACACAGGACAGGTTCGGCAAGTACCTACAAACGCAGTGTCGTATTGCACCAACTCGGTCCGTTTCGTCCGGACAGTCCTGTGTAATGACGACCGATTACACTATCATGGGTCGCTAACAGCCCCTTCATTGGATAGTACTTGGCACAACAGTCACTTTACTGTATTGCTCGTCGGACTGTCCAGCGGCAGTCGGCGGAAGCGGCTTCTCGAACCTCTCGTGCTGCACGTACGGAGACGACACGGTGGACGTCCTGTGCTGCTCCAACTTTGGATTCTCCGCTATGGTGACGTAACCGGTGTTCGGTTTGCTGGCGATGATCGTCTTGTCAACATCCAGTTTGCCGGCCGGGTGCGTTCCTGTTGGCCAATAGCGCGTGTAAGCAGAGTTGTCCTCCTCGTTCTTGTCCTCCGTGGGCTCCGTTGCTTCCGTTTTTCCAATTTGCTGCGGCTGTAGTCTCTGGAAAACGGTGCTGGCCAAGACGTATGGTTTCGAACCATCGGTCGTCGAAGACTCTGGAGGGCCAGCTTTGGGCGATCCTTCCGAAACAGTTGGCTGATAGTTCGGCTTCTTCGCCATCTCAGAGATAGAAGACACCGAGACGTACGGCTTCGACGGGGAGTCCATGGTGGACGGCAAGGATGTCGGACTAGCAAACGAGGAGACAAATGGTTTGGTGCACGCATCGGTTAGAGACGTTGATGCGAATGGAGCGGTCATCGTCGCGCTCCTTGTACCGTCGATACTGCTCAAAGCGAATGGCTTCTTCAGCGAATCGATCAAGCCTGTCTGGACATACGGTTTCGACGTCTTCTCGGCAGTGGAGAACGGTGTCAAAGTCTCCAGTTTCGCTTTCGACTCCGTGAATGCCAGGTCATCTAAGTCGCGCAAGGTATCTATGGGCTTCTTGTCCTTCTGTTTCTGCTCCAAGGATGCCAGGGTTATGTAGGCATTGGCGGGCTTGGTCTCCGCTTTAATTGGGATCAGTGTCTTCGCAGTGGGGTCTGTCAAGTCACCGTCATCCTTGGATTTTGATTTCACTGGCTTTGGAGCTGCTCCGATCACACTGTAACCACCTGCTGTTGTTGTTTCTTTGGGCACAGGGCTCGGATTGCTGGATAGCTCCTCGGATGACGGCATGCTGATATAGCCGGTCGAGGACCATGTGTGCTGGGACGTTGTGAAGCCAGTGCTATCGGTTAAATTGGGTGTCGATCTTGCTAGAGACAAGGAGTCCCCGATTATCGGTTCTCCTGATTTCGCCACTTTTACGTATGGTTCCCAACGAGCTGCGTCTGCGGTGAACCCAGGCCTTGTTACCCCGACGTTCCTCTGCCGCAAGCTCGAGGACTCCCAAGGCTGTAACGTTTCCATCAACTTGTTCGGCGACACCGGCATTGGATCTATCTCCGTGCCACTGTCACTTGAAACCTGAGAGTCAGACGTGAGAGAAGAAGTGACGGATTCTTGACCGCTAGAGCAGCCACTTGAGTCCGCTGATGATTGCCGAATGTGCTGTTCACCTCCCTTCTGCAGGAGCTTCTATAATAAATATTAATAAACCATAAATAGTGAGTATTTTCTAATGGTTGTACAAAGTTTAGTTTTTGTTTGAGTACAGCAATAGTATTACCATGTTGGGCGCTAATCCAGGTGGTAACTTGACTCCGACGTCCTGCATAGCTTTACACTTCATCCACATTCTATAATAAATGAATAAAAGTTATAGTAAACCTACGACCTTTTGATAAATTATAGAGGAAAGGATATATGTACCTCTTCGACACATGTCCGACACAAAGAAGTACCGCTACAATGCTGACTGCTCCTATCACCCATATCATAATCCAGACGCTGAACGACGGACCTATGACATAATAATTTGTTGATTAATAAACATTTCTATAACTCGTAATAGATTAACCCTTGAATTGAACCCTATTCAATTACGATGCGAAAGGAGAAAGAATATCAGAATGATTTTACCATCGCTGTAGCAATTTCCATCGCCTGGATCGGACCATTCTCCTGGCAGGTGCTCATTATTGGGTGCAATGTTAACAGCTCTCACGCGAAACTCGTATAACTGTTCTCTCCCCACCGTTTTGCAGTCAGGAATTGACAAATGAGCCTCTGCAACGATTGCACCAATTACGTTAAAAATTGCATATACTTTTCTAGCGAAGAATCTTCTGTTTTACGCCATTACCTGTTTTGGTACTGTTTTTTATGTCACCGTCACGCGTAGATATCTGATAGTAATCCAAATAACCAGCGCTATTGTCAGGTTTGTTCCACTTAACGGCCACTTGGCTAGAATTTATGAATCTGACGTTGGGAACGCCTACTTTGCCAGGCACACCGATCTTGGTAACCTCGTAGATAATCGGTGACGCTTGGCTGCAATCCACGGTGCATGCCGCCACGCTGATGCTGTAATTCGTGTGGACCTTAAGGTTCTCCAGTTTTATATGATTCGCTTCGTCAACCTTTCGTTCACATCCGTTAAATTTTACTTCGTAGTATCTCAAAACGCCATTCATGGCATCTGGCGGTTTCCATGTGATAAACATAGTTGTATTGGTCACGTTAAAGACCTTGACGTCTTGCGGAGGCGTCGATGGGGCGGCTTCCAACGTTGTATTGTACAAAGGGTCGCTGGTTTTTCCTTCTTTGTTCTTGATTAACACGGCGACAGATAGGCTGTAGGTCGTATACGGTTTTAAATTGGTCACCATGCCGTGAATAGTATGGGGATCCGCTTTTATCGTTGTATTAAGCTTCGGGCCTTTACAGTTCAAATTATACGGCGATACTATAGGGCAATAATATATGTTGAATCCCTCTACAATTCCAATGCGATCGGAACAGTCCAACTTCCACCCAACTTGAATATAGTCGGAGCCGATTTTATTTATCCAAACGGACTTCATCTTTCCAACACCGTCGTCATGCATCACAGTGCACGAAGCCCACATCATACCACTGCTTCCTTTATGGGTATTCGCGGAGATCGCGAACTGGTAAACCTTGTTTGGATCCGGCACAGTCATATTATAGATCGTCGTATTCTTGCTCACATGCACCCAGTCCAGATAACCCTGTAATTATCAGTTTCGATATGAATAGATTTCAATTACCGAATATCCGCAGTTGTTAACGATTACGTACGGTGCATTGATAAGGGCGATCCCGGTTATCGTTATCGCACCAAAAAATTGTATAATTTGTAACTTCGGTGTTCATAATAGGTAGCTTCCAAGACAGCTCGTACAGACCGCCGTGAAATGCTATTTTTGTAAACGCCAAAGGTCCGTGCGGTACTGTGAAATACACACGTCAATTATAATTGTCTGGTAATAGAATACGGATCTGTATTCGAATTCTTCGTTGCAAAGAAAATTATATCCTTACTTTCATATTGACTAGGAACAAAGATTCTAGCGCGCTCCTTATTCATTCCGACAATATTTGTCGAAACAATCTCGAATCTGTAATAACTGTTGAGATTAATTCCCTTGAATTTAACATATGTATCTGTCCTTTCACTGGGAACAATCGCCAGCTTCTTTCCATTCTCTTCAACGTGTTCGATCTTATATGTAAAATTGTCACCGTTCTTCAAGTACTCCGGTATAGTTTGCCAATACAAATACACGTCTCTGGTGTCCCTGCTCTCCGCCGTTACCTCGAAGCTCCCGATATCGGTTTTTGGAGAACGGCCAGGTACTAAAATATCAAGTACATAGAAATGAAAGAAAGAAAACACGGAATACTCCGCAGAATACCTAATGACAAAAATCGAGTTGCTTACCTGTTGGCGATGTTCTGAACGCAACCACGCTAAACTCACTCCATTTATCTTCCCCTGTAGCGACGGAACTCTTCATGGAAACCCGTACATCGTAGCCGGCGTTAGCGTACTCCAATCCGGAGAGATTATAATGTCTCTTGGAGTCGCGAATGTCATTCGTAATATTAATTACCTGAAAAACAATTATAGTTAATACAGGATACATTATAATTATATAAAGAAATAGTATGTGCATGCACACCTGCCAGGTGTCTTTAGTATGCCAGTGATTTTGGTACATTATTCTGTGGTGTAAGCCAGGTGGAAAGTTTTGCATAGGAAAAGGCACGCTCCAATGCAGTAATACGCTATCCGATGTTTTATTAATCACTGATAAATTGGCCGGTTTTGCAGGAATAACTGGAAACAGTTACCATTATCGTTAGAATCGGGACGATACATTTGCAAGTTTAAGAATAGAGGATGCGAACCATGAGCAAAATGATGAAATCTGTATGTAAAACTGGCATTTCCTAGCACGTTCTCCACGTTTAAGATGAACGTATAATATTCGTATGGCTGACGGTAAATCGGGTTCGTTGATGTGTCCCACAGACATGTATTCGGTGGCAAATGTTTTTGATTTTCATGTGGGCAAGGATACAATTTTCGTCCTGCTCTTCCCGGTAGTTTGAATACAAGCGTAAATTTCGTTGTAACGTAGTTCTGGACGGGCACCCATGAGCATGTAATATTTTCCCAGTTGTGGGACACACAGGAGAAATTCTTCGGTTCTTTAGGTTTATCTGTTGATGAACATTATAATCAGAAACTCATAGAGAAAACTCCTACGTTCTTCTGGAAACAGATTCTTATCACTTTTGCCGCACAAAAAAAAAATTCAAAACGCGAGTAAGAGGGGAGATTAAAACGGGTGCGTCTACAGGGTTCTCTTTGTGTGAAAGGGTCTCTGCATAAATTCTTATCTTGAATGATAGTCAAGAATGGGTTCTAAGATACAAAACGTATAAGATACTTCTATAATTCGAATGAATGCAGGCTTTTGATCTATCCTGATAAACACATACATGAATGACACTATTTAGAGAGGAATTCAAACTGCAAGCATAACTGTAATAAACAGAGACATTTTTACTGAAATCGGGAACCATTTAAAACAGTATTTTCCAAGACACAATACTTACATCCCACTACAACTTTGTTCAAACAAACTGCTTCAGGTTTCTTGTTAGAGTCATTTTGTGGCCTCAATTTGCAATAGTACATGTCCTCTGCAGGAGGAGGTTGTTCTACATCCAATGATATTGTAGTTTCATTAACGATTGTAATAAACTGTGGTTCCATTTCCTTATTGTTTCGAAAAAACATAAGATCTGAAGCATTTCCTTCAGGCAAATAGCTGTCAAACGTTTTATTTAATATACAAAGTATTTTTAACGATTGACCGTATTCGAGAACAATATCCCCTTGAGGCCAAGTTCCTTGAAAGAGATAAGTTTATAATTTTGTTATTGTTATTATAATACATCTGCCAAAATAAATTGTTAAGTTGCTTTCACTGCGAGCATACACGGAACGTCCACAGTGTATTAAATATAGATACAAGCATTTTGCTTCTACACTAGAATTCCAAAAAGAGAAGAAAGGTGCATGCTTTATTTATAAACTCAGCTAAATGTAGAACTATTCAAGGAACATATAATTACTGTTTTAGTCCATTTTAAACTTACTTCCTGGTGTTTTGAGGCCATGTGCACACTCATTGTGATCTGCACTACATAATAATGTACATGATAATACAATGAAAGGAATTAAAAATGTTCTCCAAAAACAGTTTCTCCACTGTGTACCGACTCTCTTGGTAGTAGGCAGCAGCAAATTTCTGTCTGCCCTTGTTCTCCACGAATTGTATGTATTAGAACACACATAACTATTTGAGATTTGTTTCTGTTTTTGACAACACATTATATCACAATTACAGGTAAAACGATTAACATCTTTGTTCGATGAACAATGGTTAAGCAAACATATTCCAGTAGAATAGTTGATGCTTGTTGAACATTCAGCCGTGTCACACGATTCATTTTCTATCCTATTTAGAATGTCTTTCTCCACAGGGAGATTATTACTTATATCATTTTTACAGTGCTCAGAATCGCAGCACAGTATTTCTCTCATTCTATGGATATCCAAAGATCTAGAGACATCGTGTTTAGACGCGATTTCTGTATCTGACCGCGATAATCGAAACATTTCTTGCACAGGTCTTTTGGGATCTGCTTTGGTTGAAGACATCTTGAGCTCCCATCACTGAAAAAAATAAAGTTGTATTAATCACTAAAAGATTATTTCACTCATCAAAAATTGGTTGCACTAACAATCACAATAGTAAGTAACAGTACAACTATTTCAAAAAATGAAGACCGAAGCTTGTAACAGAAGATGTGACTGTATAGTGTCAAAGCTGAACTGAGACTGAATCAGGATGCTCAATCCTTACGCATAATAAAGATAAGTCAGATACTAATGAGATAGAGTAAAGTTCCGATTGGTAAATCTTGGGTCATGACATTTTACTTCATTATTTTTATGCAATCATTTTCCAATAATTTCTTAACTAACTTATCTCTTTTACTATGAAATAATTAATTTCTTAATTATTTTCCAATAATTTCTTAACTAATNCTTTTGCCGCACAAAAAAAAAATTCAAAACGCGAGTAAGAGGGGAGATTAAAACGGGTGCGTCTACAGGGTTCTCTTTGTGTGAAAGGGTCTCTGCATAAATTCTTATCTTGAATGATAGTCAAGAATGGGTTCTAAGATACAAAACGTATAAGATACTTCTATAATTCGAATGAATGCAGGCTTTTGATCTATCCTGATAAACACATACATGAATGACACTATTTAGAGAGGAATTCAAACTGCAAGCATAACTGTAATAAACAGAGACATTTTTACTGAAATCGGGAACCATTTAAAACAGTATTTTCCAAGACACAATACTTACATCCCACTACAACTTTGTTCAAACAAACTGCTTCAGGTTTCTTGTTAGAGTCATTTTGTGGCCTCAATTTGCAATAGTACATGTCCTCTGCAGGAGGAGGTTGTTCTACATCCAATGATATTGTAGTTTCATTAACGATTGTAATAAACTGTGGTTCCATTTCCTTATTGTTTCGAAAAAACATAAGATCTGAAGCATTTCCTTCAGGCAAATAGCTGTCAAACGTTTTATTTAATATACAAAGTATTTTTAACGATTGACCGTATTCGAGAACAATATCCCCTTGAGGCCAAGTTCCTTGAAAGAGATAAGTTTATAATTTTGTTATTGTTATTATAATACATCTGCCAAAATAAATTGTTAAGTTGCTTTCACTGCGAGCATACACGGAACGTCCACAGTGTATTAAATATAGATACAAGCATTTTGCTTCTACACTAGAATTCCAAAAAGAGAAGAAAGGTGCATGCTTTATTTATAAACTCAGCTAAATGTAGAACTATTCAAGGAACATATAATTACTGTTTTAGTCCATTTTAAACTTACTTCCTGGTGTTTTGAGGCCATGTGCACACTCATTGTGATCTGCACTACATAATAATGTACATGATAATACAATGAAAGGAATTAAAAATGTTCTCCAAAAACAGTTTCTCCACTGTGTACCGACTCTCTTGGTAGTAGGCAGCAGCAAATTTCTGTCTGCCCTTGTTCTCCACGAATTGTATGTATTAGAACACACATAACTATTTGAGATTTGTTTCTGTTTTTGACAACACATTATATCACAATTACAGGTAAAACGATTAACATCTTTGTTCGATGAACAATGGTTAAGCAAACATATTCCAGTAGAATAGTTGATGCTTGTTGAACATTCAGCCGTGTCACACGATTCATTTTCTATCCTATTTAGAATGTCTTTCTCCACAGGGAGATTATTACTTATATCATTTTTACAGTGCTCAGAATCGCAGCACAGTATTTCTCTCATTCTATGGATATCCAAAGATCTAGAGACATCGTGTTTAGACGCGATTTCTGTATCTGACCGCGATAATCGAAACATTTCTTGCACAGGTCTTTTGGGATCTGCTTTGGTTGAAGACATCTTGAGCTCCCATCACTGAAAAAAATAAAGTTGTATTAATCACTAAAAGATTATTTCACTCATCAAAAATTGGTTGCACTAACAATCACAATAGTAAGTAACAGTACAACTATTTCAAAAAATGAAGACCGAAGCTTGTAACAGAAGATGTGACTGTATAGTGTCAAAGCTGAACTGAGACTGAATCAGGATGCTCAATCCTTACGCATAATAAAGATAAGTCAGATACTAATGAGATAGAGTAAAGTTCCGATTGGTAAATCTTGGGTCATGACATTTTACTTCATTATTTTTATGCAATCATTTTCCAATAATTTCTTAACTAACTTATCTCTTTTACTATGAAATNTTCTTAATTCATTTATTGTTTACTATGAAATAGATATTTAACGATGGTTAATTATAGGTTAAAATGAGTAATAAAATCAGAACAATACATTGCAAAACTACCACAACGTTTCTGTGAATAATATTTGTTCTTAAAATCCATTATATTATACAAACAACATTTACAAATGGAGCAGGAATAATAGAAATGTTAGAAACATTTGGAGTGTACTTTGATGTTGTACTAAATTTTTGTTTACAAAAATCTTTTTTTAATTTGAATACTTCATAATCCTCTCGAAATATAAACTTAACAATTGCAAATGTCTTAGTAGATTTTTAAAGACGACAACATTATACATAAATAAACAAATGATCTGAATTAATACAATTTAAAGAGTCCTTTCAGGATTATTATTTAAAATTATTAAGCTTTTCTCAATATTACTTTTAGGTAAAAAGTATTTTTAAAAAATGTTTAACATGCAAATGATTCTTATCAACCGAATACGTTCGGCCGAGGAGAGTAGTAAATATAACAATAGCTTAAAAATCAATAATAAAAGATGGTTCGAACGTGAAGAGTAAAAATGTGAACGATATAAAATGCTGCATCGCGTCATCAACGTACGCTCGGAAGCATTTTCTTAATCGTTGTCGTTATTTACTAGAAAAGTCTAATTATCGGAGTAAGAGGAAAATATTGATAACTCGAAAACGTAATCAGTCATCACGGTCGTAGAGGAAGCGAGAAAAAGAGAGCGAGGCGAAGAGAGAGAGGGAGAGGGAGAAGGAAAAAGAAAGACCTAAAAAAGGAGGGAGAATTCTACATATACATACATATGCGGGACGAGCATGCACACGGCCATGCGGCGTGCAGAAATTATTTAGCACGGTGCGGTACAGGGCCGTTTCTGTAAAACTGCAAACATTTCCCGGAGATATTCGAGACGCGTATCGCGTCGAGAACGTTACGATCGTTTATTTACGAGCATACACTGCGCTGTATCCACGACGTAACGCGTCTCCGTGGTAGATGATCGTACCTCGTATCCCGTCTTGTTCGCGTGTATACAGGGTGCTCAGTAATTAAACTGACAACGACTGTCAATCATTAATCGACTTAATTATTATTTCATACATTTATAAGAATCCACCAACATAATTATTACTCGGTATTAAGTATAGAAATGAATCAAAGACCTTCGTACAAACACCGAGTAAGTTCAGATCTTAAAAGTCGTCTGATTCATTGACCAAACAATCGGCAATGTATACAAATGTGCAAAACTTCAACAAGTATAATTCTCTTAAAATGTAGACGACTTTTGTATCAAGGTCTTCAATGCTTTCCGACTATATGGTATAGTTAAAATATTATTAAAAAATGTATTTTCAATAATTAAAATGCCCACTAATAAAATTGTATTAAATTGTCCCAAACGTTCTTTGCTTAATGCTTCCTTTTAATGCTGTTAGACAACACGAGTATCCCATTTGTTGATGTTTTATCGGTCTCTAATTTTCGTTCATGCAATTACACCACTTGGATAAAAAAGTAATTTACATTTGCATTGCGTGTAAACGGAAAGAATTTTTGGAACAACCTAATATTTGATACCAACATTCCGATATTTTCACGTTACGTTTAGAAATCACGATTCTACGTACCACTTGATCATGTTCACTGAATATCAAGACGATTGCGAATGCGAATTGCTAATGACAGTATCGCGGTCCATATCTGATAACGAAGCAAAACCGCTCCATTGTTTATACACGTTTCGGAGTAACCTCTGTGCCATCGGAAATTATCAGTTGAATCGCGGAACACCCTGTATAGTGTCCGTGTGGCAGCACCTGCGACTGTGTGCGATCTCATGAATGCTTCTCTGACGTACACAGAAGCACGCACGGCCACACGCACGCCATATAATATACACGCGACAATTCACGTAATGAGGTTGGCCTAAGCGAACGATTCGAATTTCCGTGTTCGATCGCGGACCCGATGACACACGGATGTCCGATCGGCTTGCAAAACGTTTTTCGATCCGAAAATCGTGGGTTTCGCTTCACGGTGAAACGACATATCTCGAGGACGGTGGGAAAGTCCAAAGCGGTCGTTCGTCCATTATCGGATCATTTCCTGAACGTCTCACTCACCGTCAGTGAACGATCAACGAGTTCCTGTAGATACTCTCGCATCGTGCCAGCAAAGATTCCGCGTTCGTCGCCACTTCACTTCATCGAAACTGAACGAACACTTCGAGACGGTCGAACGCGAACCCGTTCTATCCGATGGGTATATCCTTTGGTCACCGTAACGCGCTCCGAAATATCCGACAGACACACAGACCACTATCCGAGTCGAATCTTCCGCAGCAAACACGTAACCACGGCACGTATCGCGAGTCGCAGCCGCAGAAATCGGCCGTGTCACTTCATATTTGCGAAAAATTCTGTTTACATTCGCCCAGAGGGACCCACGAATAAATATATACGATACACATTCTGGGTAAAATACGTGCGATCAATCGACAGTGGTACCAACATGTCGGCAACTGGTCCTCGGGAATCTCGAGATCGAGCGCGAGAGGCGGTCGAATATTCTCAACTCATGATTCCACCAATTTTCCGATCTTTCCGACGTTTTCGAACGATTGTTACGGTCGTTACGGTGAATCGTGATCCCGAACCATATGGGGCGAACACGTTTCGAATGTTGCAGCTTGAAGACATTGGCTGACGTCACGACGAAACGTCAAGCGCCGCATTCTCGGAAATGTAGGCGCAGGCTCTATTGTGACCGCGATATCGTCCAAAAGGCGGGATTTTTGAAATTCCTCGACCATTCGATTTCTAACTTCGACGTTTTTGCGGCTCCACGATTTCGACTGAGGAAGAAATCAAATATTTTTCAATTCTACACAACATTCGGTAAGATTTACCGAGTATCATGAAAATAAGAATATTTGGTTTCTTCTTCGGCACAAATCATGAAAACGTAGTATACACCACGGTGTAAACAGTTTTTGGGATTCCCCGAAATGTTCGGTTTTCCCGAAACAGTATCTTGTGAAGAAAAAGGTATAATAAATACACACAAATATTCCATAAAACTTGCATGATATAAACCACATTCTAAATTTTCTGTAAGTTTCGTTCTTTTACAAGAAAAGAATGACACAATTTGGTGGCCCCTTAAACGAGGCAACCGGGAATCGAAGTGCTAAATGGCGCTAGCTATTTAAATTATAATTTACATAGCTTCAATTAGTATTTATTGAACAGGGCTTAATTGTAATTAAAGGTAGAATTTTTATTCGCAACAATATCGATCTCTTAAATTTATTCGTGTAGTTGTAACGAAGTTATTATCGATGAAAATAACGTGCATATACAATATTAAACAGTTCGTGATGCATCTTGGCAAGAGACAATATCGCAATATAAGTACAGAAGACATGGAGTTCGTTTAATGTTAAAATTACAATTGTTATTACATTTCTATTGAAAAATTATTTCTTCATTTATGAAGCCTATAATTATCAATAATTATCAATAATATTGTATAACTTTTAGAAATTGATACATATATATATATATAAATATTTATATATATGTATGTATATATATTTACAATTATTTTGAACTCGTTTATAATATCCTACATAATATACAAATGGTGTATATGTATACGTATATAATTATAAAAAATAAACAGAATAATTACGATGTAGGAAAAAGTATAATCCGCCTATAAATGCAATTACCGCTGCTTATCGTTTATACGATAGACAGAAAAATTGCTTATGTAAGCAAACAATGAACAGCGACAATTTTCATTCTCATAAATGCTCTGATTTTTTCTTACTTTTTTTCTTTACAAGAATTAGGTTTAAAAATATAGCTTAATTCGTTCTTATTTGATTCGTTTACCGAACATTCTCGACCTAGTCGTTATGAACTTACTAGTAAAAAAATAGATTTATTAGTTTTTACATAGTTAACGTGCCTAAGTGTCGCAAAAAGACAGGAAGAGGTTGTTTTAACAAGAAAACTTTTTGCCTGATCTTGTTATTACAGACATTACCGGGTAATCAATAGACTTCGGAACTTTATGCACTTATTACATACGAAAAATTTAGAAAGAATTACATAATTTTCTTATTTAATATTTACTAACTATATGAAATGAGATTCTAATAGAAGTTAATATCGTTTCATATTATTCATAATGTATTACAACATTTTACGAAGATAATACAATTCTATGGAATTTCAGTCTCTTTGAGTTTATCCACGAAAAGTTAGATTTGCATAAACTTCCGCAGTGTAGTAAGAATGAGAACATTTTAAAAGAAATTTTTGTAAACAGTAAATGCAGTTCGCCATCGCGTTGATCCTCTGCACCTCTAAGTGCATCTGCTTCTTTGGTTGTATCAGCACTTAATTTAATTATTGCTAGATGTACTTACTTCGTACAATTATAATAAATACTTAAGAACAAAAACAGTATCGACAATATCTTCTTTTCTTTTTTTTTTCAAATGCTGCACTTGTTTTGAGACAGAACAGTCAAAAGGTAATTAATTAAACTCTACAAGATCTGTATAATATTCGTGCTAAGAAAAATGAATGAATCGATGATCAAGGCCACAATAATGTTATAGGATGAATGTTCGAGTGTATACGATCAACCAAAAAGAGATTCTGAGAATGTCAAATGTAGTTAACTTTTGTCCAGTCTACAATTTCTCTTATTTATGAAGTTATATCTCAGTGCACAATTATTTTTCTATATGTATAAATACTAAAATAGTTTTTCATGGTTTATCCGAGTATCAACACTATTTGCAGATGCAAATAGATCATACTCTACCGAGATTCATGTCTCGCCTCTTTTTACAATTGTATATAATCTTGTACAATCAATTCTAGTACGAAGTAGTGCATAAAAAGTGCAGTATTCACTCAATACGCAGTAAAAAAAAGATTCTCAAGATTCTCTTCTCAGAAGTTAACATTTAAAATTATAAAGTATTATCTTATCGAATTAATAATATAGTCAGGACTCAAAAGTGCAGAATCGCTTTAACGGTAAAAGACTCTTATCATAAATATCGATTTTTGGATGAACAGCAGTTTAAGAAAACAAAAAATCGAACTTTCTGACGTTTTTTGGGGTGCACACCCATCTCGGGTAATTTCAATAAATGCCTGCGCGGGGTGCCCTCATCAATCGGTCGAATACTTAATTGGTCGATTGTGAGATTACTCTACAACGAATATAAATTCAATAAACGTTTTACAATCGCTTCACAAGCTTAAGCGTTTTACTTAGTAAATTTTTGTTTTGTTATTAAATATTTGGAACACGCGCAAGGCACAATACTCTCAAGCTATCACACGTGTTAGGATGAATTAATATTTCTCGTCCTCTCGGTAATTAGATTTGTTTAAATACAGAGTTAGCACCAGTCCAATCTTGGTTAGAGTGAGCAAGTATCGTCCCTAGATATCGGGCATTTTACGAGTCACAATCGCAGCTGCAAGGAAAAAGATATTCACGCATTCTTTCCTTCAACTGAAAGTTCGTAAAAAAGATGATCTCTTACTATAAATTAGTATTAATACTATCAGTATAGTGTTTCATTGAGAATCAACAACCATGTCCTCGGTTATATTACTAAACTGTAATACATATAGAATTCGAAGCTCATGTAAAATAATAATAATTATTATTATACGTATCAAATATTAAAAAGCTCGAACGACATGTGAATACATTTAAGCACATGATTCCCATGTGTCGTATATATAAAAAAAGTATTGAATCTTACTACATACCTACATATATGTATAACCAACTCCATAAAATATTATACAATATAACACATTGTTTCCCATTTTGCACCAGACAGTTCTGTACCGATTCTCTTAGTACTGCGTAACAGTATTAATCTAACTCTTGCTGCAATAAAACAACCTCTTGGAAATCATTTTTTTCCTTTCTCTGGTATTGTCTTTAAAAATTGTTTCATTTCTTTCGTACTACGCGATACCTAATTGTTAAACTCAGAAGCATCGAGTCGAAAAAGAAATTATTCGGAGGGTAAAAGTTATACGGAGGCAACGTTAGCATTAGTAATCGTCACTTGCAAGGATTAATGGCGGTGTGTTACTAAAAAAAATGGTTAATCTCATATATTCATATCGTAGAGGTGTGGAAGTGCACCTACCACTGAAGGCATCTGACAACCACGTCGAACCAAAAGTCGAACGGAAGGTCCACCGTTTCGTATAATTTCGATTGCCTCCGTGTGAGTCATGTTTTTAGTGTTAATTCCGTTTATCTCGATTATCTGGTCGCCGACCTGAAAATTATTAATAGGAATGCAATACAGGTTTTCAAACGGGTGTCGCCTCTCACTGGCACACATATTCTTTTATTAATAGCTCGTCTCTTACTCTCAATCGATTATCAATAGACGCGGGACCGTTCTCAGCAATTTGCAACACAAACAGGGGCATATTTTGAAATTCACGTCCGCCGCGAATACTAAAACCAAATCCTCGAGTTCCACGCGTTAATTCGACTGCATGATATTGACCTCCATCTCCGTCACATGTTGGTTCATCCTGTAGACAGAAATACAGAATTAAAGACAAAAAATTCATGATAGAGATATTTTAAGAAAACATTTTTAAATGGTGAATTAATCTATTCCTACTCTCAAATACTTTGTAGATTCAGTTAAAGCTATTCAAGCAATTAGTGAGCAGTACCTTCTGTGACAGAGATGTGTTACTGCAACAATCATCAAGAGGGTAACCGATCGTCAAAGTAACCGAGTAACCAGAGTCCTTAATTAAATTCACGATATCCTTGTGGCAGACGTTCGTGATATCTACATGATTAACGGCAAGAATATGGTCTCCGACATTCAATCGGCCGCATCTTTCAGCAGGTGAACCTTCGATTATCCTACCAATCGTCGAACCAGCCTTGTTCACCGAGGAAATAATCACGAAACCAAAACCTTCATTTTCCATTCTAGTGACCGTCACATCGTAAGGATACTGATGATTCATTTGCCTATTGTACGGAGCCTGTAGATTCTCTGGAAGATGTTCTTGAGTGTTAATCCTACGACGTATTCCTAAAGTAACCCTGCCATTCTGAGCTGCTGCGATCATCAATTGAACAACGTGGTGGTGCGACGAGTTTAAAACACTCTCACCATCGACGGACATGATCAGATCACCTGTATTCAGTCTGTTATCTAGATCAGCTGCTCCGCCAGGTACAATATGTCCAACAGAGACCTGCTAGCAGTTCGATTATCAATACCTTCAATTTTCTCGAATTATACAGGATGCCTCAGTTAAATGAAATCACCTAAATATTTGCCTTATTTATTTTTTTAAAAGCAGATATTTAAACGATTTTATTTAGCCGAGGCACACTATATAACTTAGCAATTAATGTTCTCACTTGAGATCCTTCCTCGGTGCCGCCCACTATTCTAAATCCGAATCCTGTGTCTTGTCTTACTAATGTTACCAACGTTTCTATCCATTCTATGTCAGGCACAATGGGGCATACTAATTCGTTGGTATATTGAGGATATCTAAAATTGAATCGATATTAATTCCACAGAACTTTAACGTAAATTTATGAACCAAATTTGTACGTACCGTGGTATAGAACTGGAATGTGGTTGTTCATGTTCAAAACTCGTAGTTTCCTTACGCTTATCCCATATCTCACCAGTATCAACATTTTGCTCCTGACCAATAGAGTACACATTGTAATCTTGTTCGCTGTACTGCGAATGGGATTGCGATGTATATAGCTCTTTATAGTAATCCGAGTGCAAGCATCCGTTTTGTTTCAGCATGTTATCATGATGAGGTATGTCGATGGAATACACATCATTGTTTATGTTTAATTTGTCATTTGTGACCCAATCTCTTTTCGCCGTGTTTCGCATCGAATCGTCGTCAAGGTTAGTCATTGTAGCGAAGTTATCGGTCAGGTTCGTTATGTTGGCTTTGTACGGGTCAGTATAGTACATGCCGTGAGTATATTCGCCGTACTTGTATCGGTTATCTAACGGATTTAGCTCGTTTTCGCTTTGCTCGTTCCAATTAGGTCTAATTGTATTCGTTGGAGATTTAGGGCGATTTCTGGTATCTATCAACGGTGTTTTTGGTCGGCTCGGCACAACAGTTTTCGTTTGAGTGCTGTAGATATCAGCGGTCGGTGTTTTACTTCGAAAAAAGTCCTGCGAGTTCTTCTCCTTCTTTTCGTTCGACTTTGATGTCGTTCTTTGTACATGGATCAGCGCTTCTTCATTGCGAGGACAATCTTTCAGCACCTGCACCACCTCGGAGTGGCACATATTTCTCACATTGATGTCGTTTATATTAACTAGAATGTCGCCCTCAATTAAATTCTTGCATCGCTGCCGGTCCAAGATCTTCTTCACCTTCTGACCGTGTGCAGAATCCGCTATTGTAAACCCGAATCCCATAGTTCCCTTCACAATTGCAATACTAAGAAATTCAGGTTTGGAAGACAACGGTGAGTCCTTGCAATCGTTCATGTCATTGCTCTCTGACAGAAGAATATCAGTGCTGCTGGGTCGTTTAATTGTATTAATCTTATCCGAGATGCACAAATCTGGCATTGAATTGACCGAGGTAGTGGCAAGGTTTTCACCATTTTGGAGACTATGTACTGGTAAAAACGTGGAGTCCAAGAAATTGAAACGCCCGTTGCTTTGCAAGGTTGGATCCAAATCCATGTACATCCTGGGATCTTCTGTCAAAATATCTGAAGAAATAGAACTTATTCTCCTAACAGATGTATATAAAAAATATGATCTTTACCTGGTGCGTTAACGGCGATAGTGGTAACGACTTCCGTGTTAGGATCGTTCGGATCGAATGGCAACGGATAACCCCGGCACACTTCCAGTGTAACAGTCTCACCGCTACCAATAGATTTAAAAACGTTCACCATTTCATTATGAGTAAATCCCAAGACGCACGTGTCGTTAACGTATACCAAAACATCTCCTGTAATTAGCATCATTCTTATTAAATCATATTTTTATATGTGATTTTTCTTATGGCTTCATAAATTACCAGTTTGTAATTTTCCATCCAACCATGCAGGACCATTTGGTACAACACTCTTTATTTGTAAAAATTCTTCTACCGAATCATCCCCACCAACAATAGTAAAGCCTAGCCCCCTTGAACTCTTTATTAATGTTGTTCTTATCCTCTGGCCCTTCAGTTTTTCAGGATTCCTAGTGAAATTGGGACTTTTTCTTTCTCCTAAACTTTGTTGGGCCCTCTTTGCTTGCAATACTGGATTTTCATACTGAGTTCGACGATTTACATGATCAATGAAGTATGTTCCATAAAGTGTGTCATCTATTTTCTCCCAACCATACGGTAATTCATCGTCTAAACATTCTTCCAAAGATCTCTTTTGAAATTTGGATAACCGTGGGTCCAGCCAGTGTGAAGTACCTGTGTTATGGCTGCAATAGACATAAATATTTTAGTTAATCATAAAATGATAGCAATTTATTCTAAGCGATCAGTGTCCAGTACCTCTCAGTAAATCATATTGTTACTGGAATTGCTGATTGCGTGAAAATTGTAACGCCAATTTATCAATTTGTGTCAATATCTGATAAAGCTTGCTTCATCATATAATTTCACCAAATTTTCATACAATAGTCAGCTTTAGCTACAATATGAATCATCAAACTATTTGATACATCAAGACACATACTCTATGAAATAAACTTCTCCTGTATCGGTATAAGCCTTTTCCCAGTTTGGTGGCAATGGTCCTAATTGGTCTTCTGTGGCTTGATTGCGACTTCTGTTACCCTGCTCTTGATTGGATATTCCTGTATTCGGATCTGAACTTGGATTATATAAATACGTAGGTGGAATACGATGACCAGTTTCATCGGTTCCACTAATAGCTAATACCTCCTTGTCCATGCTCCCTCCTACAATTACATATACATTGTAACGAGTGACAGTAAGAATAACTGCACAAATTGCAAAGAACAATTTCCTTACCATCATTGGTATTATCAATGGACGTTGTGTCTTCAGTTTTTGTAGCCATTTTACAATTCTTCAGTTCCACCTTAATACCCTACCAAATAACAACAATAATAATATAGCATTCAGCTAATTGAATATAAAAAGATCTATCAACATTATCACAATAACAATAACACGAGCTCTTTTTATACTTTCGAAGAAAAATGTTTTCCTAAGCAAGCCAGAAATGCAGATTACCGTAATTAGTCTATTGTTATTGTAGTAAAATTTGCAACTGCATTGCAGATAATTATCGAGTCACCCCCGTGAATAACAAAGACTCATAACGGTCATGAAATACTGTTAGCGGTAACGATACACCGTATCGGGATTACAGATTGTATTTCACCAGTTGCGACACCATTTATATGCAACGTTTTCAAACATTTTTCACATTATTTCGGGATTAGTTACCCGGGCATGCTAAATCGCGTTATCTAGCGGATCAACGGTCTTCGGGAGGAACGGTTTTATCTGCGTGTCCAAACATTTGACAGATAAGGATAAGACGAAAACGTTGACAGTGAATGGAGCACGGTGGACAGTTCCTGGCACACCGTCCCATCGACACCGACACGCACGATACTCCAGGGAAGCGGACAGACAGGTGTCCGTGGTGAAATTACATAAAGCAGGAGAGGAACACGACACACGGCGGACGTGAATGCATTCTTACGAATGCATTCACCCGAGAGAGCCTGTGCGTAGCCCACATATCGTGCATCATTGAATGCAACTTTCTATCTAGGAAAGTAACATGTTGTCGACTCTCCCGGGAACGTAAATAACGTTTTTTCGTTCCGAGACGCGATTCTAACGTTTTTCCGCATGCATACCCCGAGGAAACGTTACTCGTAGATTATCTTTCTCTCTTTCCTTTCTTCCCTTTCTCTCTCTCTCGCTCTCTCTCTTTCTCTCTCGCTTCCTCTCCCTACTTCACTGCCTCTCTGTCTTTCTCACTCGTGCCAGTAGAACAAGATTCAGATTAGCATGGAAATTCGCGAAGTGGGAAATAATGGTACAGTACGGACTAGGAAAATGTATAATCCGTAGACAGTTCTGTTCGGCAGGAGGTCTACTTACAGTGATCACGATCGACGAGGTTCCCTTTTAATTCGATCATTGTGAATCAGCCGCGGAAACGGGCCCGGAATATTTCGGCACTGAATCACTTCAGGATCATCGAGATACTAATCATTTTCGAAATGATTACGGAAAGAAACGTATCCACGACCGTTACACAGCTACATCACACACGATACTGAACAATACTGAATCGAACTGAATCATCGCACTGCATCTTTAGGCATTTAACCGATGTACGCGTTCGCGCGCCGCCTCACGGGCGGCGCGCGCGCTACACTTCTGGCGCTATATTTAAATTTGAATTCGAATTTGACAGTTTCGACGCTGCACGCTCGAGTTAACTCGAGCGCGTTAAACTGACCAAACTGTGCACACTCGAGATAATTCGAGCGGCGTTGTACTTTATGTTGCTATAATTTTTCACACTCGAATGCAATCGAGAATTGAAAATAACAATGTGAAAGCAAAAAAAGAACAATCGTTTTATTGATATTTATCATTTACATGGGATTGTAAGCTATAACACTTACTTATTCAAATATAAAATATATCCTTTTTCTACTTATCACACTTACGACTTATCTCTTCCTTGTGAGCCGCTTTCCGACAGCGTACTCATATTCAGATTCTGATTCGCTCATTTCTCAATATATATTTTACTAAAATATAATGTAAAATAAAATATAATAATAATAATAATAATAATAACAATAATAATAATAGTAATATTCTGAAAATTNTATTGTTATTGTAGTAAAATTTGCAACTGCATTGCAGATAATTATCGAGTCACCCCCGTGAATAACAAAGACTCATAACGGTCATGAAATACTGTTAGCGGTAACGATACACCGTATCGGGATTACAGATTGTATTTCACCAGTTGCGACACCATTTATATGCAACGTTTTCAAACATTTTTCACATTATTTCGGGATTAGTTACCCGGGCATGCTAAATCGCGTTATCTAGCGGATCAACGGTCTTCGGGAGGAACGGTTTTATCTGCGTGTCCAAACATTTGACAGATAAGGATAAGACGAAAACGTTGACAGTGAATGGAGCACGGTGGACAGTTCCTGGCACACCGTCCCATCGACACCGACACGCACGATACTCCAGGGAAGCGGACAGACAGGTGTCCGTGGTGAAATTACATAAAGCAGGAGAGGAACACGACACACGGCGGACGTGAATGCATTCTTACGAATGCATTCACCCGAGAGAGCCTGTGCGTAGCCCACATATCGTGCATCATTGAATGCAACTTTCTATCTAGGAAAGTAACATGTTGTCGACTCTCCCGGGAACGTAAATAACGTTTTTTCGTTCCGAGACGCGATTCTAACGTTTTTCCGCATGCATACCCCGAGGAAACGTTACTCGTAGATTATCTTTCTCTCTTTCCTTTCTTCCCTTTCTCTCTCTCTCGCTCTCTCTCTTTCTCTCTCGCTTCCTCTCCCTACTTCACTGCCTCTCTGTCTTTCTCACTCGTGCCAGTAGAACAAGATTCAGATTAGCATGGAAATTCGCGAAGTGGGAAATAATGGTACAGTACGGACTAGGAAAATGTATAATCCGTAGACAGTTCTGTTCGGCAGGAGGTCTACTTACAGTGATCACGATCGACGAGGTTCCCTTTTAATTCGATCATTGTGAATCAGCCGCGGAAACGGGCCCGGAATATTTCGGCACTGAATCACTTCAGGATCATCGAGATACTAATCATTTTCGAAATGATTACGGAAAGAAACGTATCCACGACCGTTACACAGCTACATCACACACGATACTGAACAATACTGAATCGAACTGAATCATCGCACTGCATCTTTAGGCATTTAACCGATGTACGCGTTCGCGCGCCGCCTCACGGGCGGCGCGCGCGCTACACTTCTGGCGCTATATTTAAATTTGAATTCGAATTTGACAGTTTCGACGCTGCACGCTCGAGTTAACTCGAGCGCGTTAAACTGACCAAACTGTGCACACTCGAGATAATTCGAGCGGCGTTGTACTTTATGTTGCTATAATTTTTCACACTCGAATGCAATCGAGAATTGAAAATAACAATGTGAAAGCAAAAAAAGAACAATCGTTTTATTGATATTTATCATTTACATGGGATTGTAAGCTATAACACTTACTTATTCAAATATAAAATATATCCTTTTTCTACTTATCACACTTACGACTTATCTCTTCCTTGTGAGCCGCTTTCCGACAGCGTACTCATATTCAGATTCTGATTCGCTCATTTCTCAATATATATTTTACTAAAATATAATGTAAAATAAAATATAATAATAATAATAATAATAATAACAATAATAATAATAGTAATATTCTGAAAATTAGAAATCATTCCAATTGTATAAATATCCAATATACTCAAGTTTTTGTGATTTTCTTGCCAAGATAACGTTCTAAATTGTGTTTTTTTTACATTAAAAAAAATTGATATTTCTTGGCCGGCCTTTTTAAAAAAAATCTGTGCACTAAGGGGTTAAACGGGTGAACGACTGTTTGAAAATTCTTAATAAAAATATTATATTTTATTGTCTCCATAATTTATTAGTACAAACACAAACATATTCGTATAAAATTTAGTGGGATCAATGGGAGGTTCGTTCTGTCTTGCGATTAAGTTGAGAGCTAAAAAGCTAAAAAAAAACAAAAACAAACGTGTAATCCTTACAAGCTAGATCATCCTATGAGATGATTCAAAGCTCGATGAAATTGTAATCGTCGATGATCTTATATCTTTTCTCCCTGTAATGTGTCAAGTTGTCCAAGAATCGCATGCTGCTTTCGTTGTGAAGCTTCGTGAGAACAGGTGGCAGGGGCGTAATTCCGGCAGTCTTCGCAAGATCATCGTAGTAATAGCCCTGCTTGTATCCCAGCAAGTGGAAATGCCTCTTTCCGAGACCTTCTTTCAATTTTTTCTCCAATTCCTCCTTCTCCTCTCGCAACATATCCGCCTTCGGAGGAAAGTCTCTCTCCCCGTTCCAGAATTTAAGGACAAATCGAACCTTCAACCGATGTGTCCAGTCAGTCATTCGCGCAAACGTTGCTCTCTGTTCGTGTACTTACTGACACGTCGACTGCCAAACAATCCCACAGAAACGAAAAGCAGGAACTTCTTTCGAGGTTTGAAGGCAGTCAACGCGTCGCTTCTAATTTAAAGTTAAATCGCACCTGTAGATCGCACATACTGAAAGCACAAACATAAAATGGGAGTCCGATCAGAGCAAGGGTCGGATTCTCGATGGACACAAGATGTTTCCACAGTGGAGTGACCATGTTCGAATCCACTCGTACCCCGCAGCTCTCGCTCATAAAGGGAAAACTGTATTTGTATCCTACGCTCACAGATTAGAATCGTTATCTCGACCATCGTCTTATCGGTCAAGTACAAGCGATCATTTTATACGTAGAACACTTGTACCGGCGAAGCTTACCTGTACAATAGAAAACAACGTCTAGGGGTTCGCTGGAGCCATCCGTGAAAAGCACGGTGTTCTTAGTCAGCTCTTTCACATCTGGTTTCTATAAATGAACCGTTTATTTTGAAAGTGGCATAAGTCACTTTTCTAAAAGAATCGAGTTAATGGTAACACTAATTACAATTGAACGGTATCTTTTCATTTAAAAAAAAAAGAAAAAGTGACTTATGCCACTTTCAAAGTAAACGGCTCAAATGTCAACCGCGCAGATGGTTAATGAAACTGCGAGGTAATTAGAGGTGATGCTCATTACCTGGATAACGTTCTCGGGGAACACGGTCCCTATCGGTTCTTTCGAATGATGACTCAAAATCACCCGCGTCGCTTCTTTCGATATGTCCAAGGCCAAATCCATTCCTGCGGTTCGAAAACAAAAAAACGAGATTAACGTTCGATTCGAAGCGGAAAAAACACATCCGAATAATCGAATTACCGGATGGACCGGCGCCAATAACAAGCACAGTTTTATCAGCGAATATCTTAGGACTCCTGTAGTCGTGACTGTGCAATTGTCGTCCTTGAAAGAGATCGTGGCCTTTCAACTTCGGAACACTGGGCTCGAAGTAATGGCCGTTGCATACCATAACGGCGTCGAAGGATTCGTTCGTGACAATATTGTTCTGTAGATCCTTCACCTTGATCGACCACTTCCGGTCCCCGTTCGACGGTTCCAATAATTCGACGTTGTGCAGAAACTGGAGAAAAAAAAACTGGTCGGTAAAAAAGAAAACTGAGACATGCCACGCTGGCGGAAACTTGTACGGTACCCGAATATACTGGCGAAGCTTGAAATGATCGCAGTAAGAGTTCAGGAAGTCCAGTATTTGCGTGCGTGTCAAGTAACTTTCGGGAACATCGGGCGCCGGATAATCGGGATATCCCATTACTTCCTTCGGCAGATTAGTTCTATACAACGACAATGATTTAGCTAATTAACGAACCAACAAAGAACAGTTTCATTCATCTTGGAATTAAACTCCTTCGAATTCTTCGCTTCGTACGAATTTAATTTCACATTTTCTATAGTAGTCGTGCGAAAGTCGAATTCGAGTCACACTTCGCGCACGTAGCTTTTTTGCGAACGGAGTTTCTAATATCAATAATTATTAGTAGACTGCGGATCTTTATGCGAAATAAAAATTCTTTGGGTTAATCGTGAGAAACGTAAGTCAGATGATAATGTCGTTCCTCGTTTAATAATTGAGCCGTTTATTTTGAAAGTGGCATAAGTCACTTTGCCGTAATGAAAAGTGGTGATTTTTTAATGTTTATACGAAAATTATTTATACTGAGAAAAATATCAGTATCCTGAGATAACAAATACAAGTAAATCTTCTCGAAAGTTAGCATCCATATTTTTAAACGTGTCAAAACGCAAACCCTTAAATATATCGACTTAAAAACAAAGCGACTTATGCCACTTTCAAAATAAACGGCTCAATTAATGGTAGATGAAGAGATTGATGAAGCAAAGGTGGAAAAGTTCTCCGAGCGCCACGAAATTAATTCGAATATAAAGCTTAAAATTTTAGCCCGAGTCTATTAGAGGATGACTGAAATGCTTTTTTGTAAATTTTGCTATTACTTGGAATGAAAGGAAGTGTAATAATATCTCTAAACTCTTGTAATGTGTTTACAGTTTTCTATTTGCTCTATGAATTTTTCTCATAAATACATGAAATCCGCGGTCTACTTATTAGTTTTATAAAATTCGATCGGACTCGACACCTTGTCATCGAGTATAAAATTGGACTGAATCAGAATTTATTTAATTGAAAATGTATCGCGACAGTGCAAAATGAATTTTGTTACCTCAGGTTGTTGTACATGCTTGTGTGTATCGGCAGACCGTATTTATCCACGCCAGTCTCCTCCCTATAAACCCAGGTGCCTCCGACCTGTTCCGTTTTCTCGTAACAAACCACTTCACAATTGAACGCGCCGGAAGTGCAATGTCTCAGAGCCGCCAGACCAGCAGATCCAGCACCGATCACGGCGATCTTCATGTTCGCTCTTAGGTTTCAACGGAACCTGTTAGCTCAGGATCAGAGAGAGGCTCGATTATTCTTCCTTTCGTTGGTCTATTCAACCGGTCAGTTCAACAACGCGCAAAGCAGATACGTAAGATCCAAAACTCGTGTTTGTTTATCGCGTTATCACATATTATCGTATTCCGGAAAGAATCATGAAAATAATCTCAAGTAGAATAGTTCGACGGTGCTAGTTCCAACGTTTAATCCAGCGCGTTACACGCGCTCGGATTCCGAGTGGGAAAGGTGCAACGATCGAAAGTCTCAAACGTTCTTTCGTTTTTTTTTCTCCTTGCAATGCACTTTCCTCGATGCTTGACTATCCCGATGGCGAATGCCGATCGCTATCGACGATTTTATCGAGAGAACATCGCGAGATGAAGCCTGGAGTCTGGCGAACGCGAAATATGCACAGCTTGTTTCTTCATTGTTAGCGAAAAGAAGCATATTAATCCTTTTGACAGGTAATTCTAGACACGTTTACAAATAATTTCAGCTAAACAAATTGCCAAAATGTTGGAAACTGTTAAAATTATGGAGCCATGAAGCCAACCATACTGACTATATAATCGTTATTAAAATATTATATTATATAATATAAATATATATATATATATATTATAACGTTATCAAAATTTGACCAAATAACTTGAATTCTTTTTCTTAAATAATAGAGGGACTATTAGACAACGACTAAAAGTGTTACGACGAACATTTTTGCGAGCCACTGTAGATGCGTTTCAGCTGAACTAATTGTTCCTTAATCAATGCAGTCAGTTTTTAACTTTTCTTCTTGCTTCGTTAAACAAACCGTTCTGATTTTATGTAATTCTCGTGATTGCTGAACCGCCCAGTCGACGCGTTATTGAATGAGAACGGTGGTGAGTGATTATTACTAGCGATGAATTAGGATTGTACTATGTACTCACGAGAAATTCGAGGGGAACGCGTACGAATTGGTCAGGAGCCGATGTATCACGATCGAAGATGAAATACCGAATGACTGTTCGTGAAATAATCAGTGTCTGTGAAAAGTTAAAGTGTATCGTTCGAAAGGAGGCTGTTACTGATAACAAGGCCGACGTGTATTCTGTGTGTTTACTATATACACATATGGAAAGTGTTCACGGACTTGTTTCAGGAAGCAATGGCAATGAACGACCTCCCGCCGTCTTAGAAGGCCTGCGTAAACCATCGAGTGGTTAATGAATTTTTAATTGCTGTCTGGAAACCTTGCAGCCGAGACGTATCGTTAATAACTCTTCATCAAAGCTAATTGTAGAAGACCGACGATTGTGATATAATCGTTCGAATATTTTTATCGAATGGTCGTAATATCCGCATGAAATCACACGGCTGGAAATAATTTATTTTATCTTAATTACTTCGACCTTATCGGTGTGTGTGTGTGTTCTACGGTATTTTTTGTTTCCGATATCTTGGAGAAACGTAAATGTTTGTTGAGGAAAATAATAAAGATAAGTGCTCGAAGGAAAGCAGTGGACATTGTCTATTTTATTTGTGAAAAGTTTGGAAGTTTTCTTAATAGCTGTGCGATTGTTTTCTTTAGAAAATGCTCTTCGGCTCTGGTAAATTGTAAAAAAAAAGAATTGACCGTGCATACCATTGTTTCGTATTTATTCTTGTTGCGTGAAGAATAGGAAATACTTTATTGACATGATAAAAAGTAGGTGTTCCAATATGAAGGTGAAACTTAAAATGGCAAAGTTGAAAAAGTTTAGTAGGTGCGTCCATCGAGCAACTTCGTAATGGGATAATCGAGACGCCCCATTACTTGCATCGGTAATTGTGTTCTATAAACAATTTCACCGGCTATAAATACGGGAAAGCACAGTTGACTCAACTTCGAGCTTGTTTACAGAAAACTTCGCCTCAAACTTTTATATATATGCCGGCGCGTATAGTTAAACCATATTGATCCACTCGAGTCTTTACTATGTAAACTCGTGTGCCCCCTACTTAGCCCACGTTCTCGCAACAGATCACATTGTCATAAATATCCAACATACAGTGCCTTATAAATGATCCGGATGAGTTATACCTTGAGCTAAAATAGGAATTAGAAGAATTGAAGAACGGCCGAAGATCTGTATGAAAAAGAAATATATTCTTTAATTGTTAACAAAATTCTTTACACTCTCACAACATTTTCTATTTATACATTTGGATTTACACAAGTGTGTCAGAAATATAGTCATATATTTTAAATAACTTTCCATATATGTAAGTTATTGACAATTGGTCCTTGATATAAATATAATCTTAAAAAAGAATGAGTTAGTCTGATTTCATCTTATATATTTAATATAAATACACAGCGTTTTCTCTATCTCACAATGTTGCAATATTTTATAGGGGATTGAATCTATCAAAACAAAGTCACTTTCTCATAAATTATTATAACATTGCATAATACTGGAACTTGCCTGCATATTTATGTGTCTTTCAATCTGTACTGAATAAAACTACAATTTTCAGGATGAGTACTTATTAGCGAACTTTCTCGTATATTTACAGTTTTGAGAGATGAATGGAAGAATGTTCTATTCTTTGAAAAGAATATTCAATTTCAACTATCGTCTGGAATAAAACTCAGACTCCCATTTGTTTTTGTATAATAAATACAGTTGCATCGCAGCTCGTGCATCCTCAACTGAACTATGTTCTCCAGTTTGTATTTCTCTACCTAATAATTCCAAGGCAAGTTTCTTTAAGCTAGGTGTATATCCTTCAGACAATTGTTTAAAAATTTTAAATCTAGAAGTATCTCTCAAATGTTTTCTTGGATGAGATAGATACAATACATCTAGGTCATACTTCAAAGCATGTCCGATAAGAATACGACCTCTTAAAATCTCTGCTACTTCTTTTTGAACAATCTGAAAATCTTCCCCATTCTGAAGATTGTGTGGGCGGATACCACTGACTCTAGTTCTATAGTCCTGAACACGCTCTCTGGGCTTAACATACTTATCGTAAACGCAACAACCATGACTATTTACAATAGACACTCTACCTATCATACTTTCTGTGCCATCACCTATGCCTACCATTTCGCAATCCATCGCTAGGTGCTTCGTCAGTTTGGCATTGTTTATTTCATCTTTTACAGTATCTCTAACCAATTGTAATCTAGTGTTCAGATTCGGTTGAGACGTATAAAGCTTTTTCTGAGTTTTCGGACGATAGACAACAGACTTTTTCTCGACCAGTTCTTTACCAGAAGCGTATATATCTTGTGACGATGAGTTGGCAGCTATATTCTTAAATAATTCCCAATTACGACCTGAGGCGTTCCGCTCCGTATGCGGCGCGATATAAAAAGAATTTTTTTTGTTTTTCTCGTCCATTGTTCTCTTGGTTAGAAACTTTTTCGATCGACAATCCTTCTCCTTGTTCTCGTCGCTCCTAAAATTGAAAATATCCATGGAAGAAACAATTAATGTTAATACTTTATGGAATGTTTTTTAATCATTTTATAAAGCTAACCTATTCATTTCTCACGTGTACATATACGAACACAAATCTTTCAAATGAACGTCCGATTATTATTAAATCTGAAATGTAAATTAGATAAATGTGCACTCAAATCGTAATTGAAATTGGTTAGGTATATGTCAACTTAAGCATGGCGACACAATCACAAACTAACAATCACAATGTATTTTAGAGTCCTCTGTAGCACAAATTCGGAACATTGATGTGAAATTCAAATTTGTTTCGTCATTCATTCTCGATTGTATTGAAAGAGATCAAAAACCTGTTATACAACTAATATATAATTCGAATTTGTAATTCTCCTATGAATTCTATTTATGGTAATATTTGTCAACAATTAGAGCAAAATTCCGAGTAAAACATTATAAATTCGAATGAAATTTTGTTTAGTATACGTGCAACCGTAACGTTTATACATATATTCTGTATGTATACATGTACATGTATTTATAATACCATACTGTTTTCAGAACAATATTTGCATGCTGTAGTGGTACAACAATGTGTAGAATGTAAAATTACAAAAATTATTTTCATATTAATGTCAAAAAACAATATCGACAATTGAAAACAGTACACAGAACTTACGATATTGTAGTTGGTGTAGGGGTTATGTGTTTTTAAACGCAACGGTTTTAACACGTTCAACGAAGTGACGCTTCTGAGATTCAATTGAATATGTGCTACAATCATTTCCTTACCTTATAAATATTACTATCGCAATTAAACACACGACGAAAATGAAAGAAGCTATCATGGTATAGTAATCGGCAGAAATATTCTAGAATTCACGTCTGCCAAAATAGTATCGATGAATCCGTTTTCTGAGAAGCTGCGTTGCGTCTTTCAACGGTTACTATCATCCCATATCGTTTGAATATGAATGTTTGTATGCATCAGAATCGTTTGTTTATGAATGTTTTATAACTGAAGGAGTCATGGACGATGATAGTAATAATACAATCAAAGACAGCTTTCCGGAACCACGTAAAAAATTTTGGCTGGTAAGTTCTTAATTATCAATAATGTCTGAACTTGGTTAACCTATGACGTTTTCTCGCCGACATTCCATGATGTTATTTTTCTTTAATTCTGTGCGATGTTCGATATTAAACATTTTAATTTTCAAGTTTTTATTAAATCAGAAAGTCTGTGTGATAATTGTTGTGTTGATTTGTTCGTATTATCTGTTCAATGAACTAATTGTGGTGATACTCATTAGCGATCAAGAAAACGTCCGAAAAGCGATGCCATCAGTATCAGTTCGATGGATATATCCATAGATTCGGACTTAAGAAAGAAGAAAAGGAGAAGAAGAATTACTGAAGTGGCCAGCAGTATATTTTCCTCATCTAACTTGAGCAATAAACAAACAAATACTCTTCATACATCTTTTACGATACAACCAAATGTTATAGATTCATCCTTTGTGGACAATGAACCAGATACAGAAACATTGAGAAGAAAGTAAGAAGAAAACACTTTTTTAAGTATTACTTATGCTTAAACATATTTCTTTTTATACTTTTATTTGTTTAGGAACAAAGAGAATATAGAAAATACTAATACTCTCACACTTCGGAGTTGGGTACTAGATGTTTCAAAAATAAGCACGAAAGATAAACAAAATTGTGCTTTAAGTAGGAAAGAGATAAAAAGACAAGAAGCAATTTATGAATTGTACTGTGGAGAAAATGTGCTTATTGGGGATCTACGTGTTCTCAAAGATTTTTACTATGAACCATTGTTACCTACCGGTATTTTCAATTCTGAGGAATTGCTTACCCTATTTGGAGGGGTAACTGACCTCATCGACATACATTCTAGACTGAGAGACGAATTGATCGAATCAAGAGATCAATATGGATACACAGACGCTATCGGTACCACAATATTAAATTGGGTTAGTTAGTTTTACAAATGATACCACACCTAATTATTGAGTGCATAGATCCAATAACTTTATGATCTTTTTTAGACTTCTACGTTGGCAAAACCATATTTAGAAAGGTGCAGAACACAAATATGGGCTAAGCATTTATTGGATGAAAAAAGGCTGACAAACAAACGCTTCCAATCTTTTCTGAAAAAACGTTTAGAGTCTCCTCACTCTATTGATTTGTGGACGTACATAGATGTACCACGATCAAGAATTGTTAAATATCCATTGCTGGTTAAAGAAATATTGAGACATACTCCAGCATCTCATTTGGATCAAACATCTTTAAAAGAAGCATATGATACATTATCCAAATTATTAAATGACATAGACAGAATCATGGGTGATGCAGAATGCAAGTTGGCTCAATCAAAGATTCATGTGAAATTAGAATATGATTCTTCTAAGTGTATTGAGAATGCAACAGAACTTATTACCGAGGGTCAACTTAAAGACACACGTGGCATGGTAAGAGTAAATTTAAAAAGATTTTTCTATTATTTTATAAAAATTGAATAATAAATTTATAATTATTTTTGTAGAAATTTCAGTGCTTTCTCTTTGACACGGGTTTCGCAATAACTCGGAGATCAAGATCTGTAAGTAAAAAGTACAATTTATCTTTTCCTGTCGTGCTCAAGGAACAAATCTGTGCGAGTGCAAATGATAAATCGCTTACAAATTGTGAAATCAATATTGGTGATCACATATTCACAACTGAAGATGAGCATGGGAAAAGACATTGGATTGATTCATTGAACAAAGTTTGTAGACTGAGAATCGATTTAGTAGAAAACAAAATTGGTACTAATGAAAAAGAAAATCAGGAAATTTTGACTCCAGTGAAAAAGAATCAGTCTACCAAATCTACAGTAAATAAAATAAGTGAAAATAATTTCCTTACTTTGAAAAGAAACTTTTTGAGATCAAAACGTGATAGTATTGGTTTCACTTAGTATTATTCAAATTACTTTTTATACTCGTGTACTATACTCAATTTAGAGTTTTCTATTTATAAATTGATATAGGATTTTGTTGTGAATCTTCGAAGTATTATCGTATCAAAAACAATTTTGTATATATCAGAG